GATCCTAGGCTACAGATGACTTTCTTTCTCTCAGAATATTTCCGAACCTGTCCTTTTTCCTTTTTCAAATCCAGAGTAGTCTTTAGAGCTTCTCTAAGTCAGATACTCTTTTCCCTGAAATAAGATCTCCTTTGTACCACATTGTACCGGAAGAACAGAACAGTTGGACTCAGATTCCTTATGGCTGTCTTTCTGCATCTGCATGACAGACTGCACTGTTTTTCCACGGTGACATGACATTTTGGGGGATGGTAAGGCTGAAGTATAGTATAGGGAGAATAGAAGGAGATATAGGGCAAGAAAAAGACTGTGCCAATGGCACACTTTCTCTGCCTCTTGATTATGCTTGTGTTGTGAACAATGACTAGTATATCAGTAGAGTTGTAGAATTTTGAATCATAAAGGGACCTAGATCTTTTTTCAATTGTATAATGTATAAATAAATAACAAAATGTCTTATCCAAAGTTATATAGCTAATGAATAGTACAGTGGAACTAAAATCCAGTTCTTTGGACTCAGTATAGAGTTTTATCTGCTATTGTAACTTATAAATAGTTATTTGTATTCACTTGCCAAGTATTATCGCATGCATACTAGGAAGACATGGCACATGTATACATGTCTTTAAATTTAGGATGTATGTTAGATAAGAGTGATACAGAAGATGTAGGTCTTAAAAGCATATAGAAGTTTGTTTTTTAACTTATTTTTAGTAACTTGTATTTTATTACAAAATGCTTAATCACTATGCAGATTCTAGACAATAACAGCAAAACAACTAAAATCACCAAAAATTCACCACCCAGAAAAACTTCTTTTATGTGTGTGTGTATATATTTTTTTCTAATTACAAAAATAGTATTGTTCTAAATAAACCTTTTTGTAACCTGACTCATAACCTAGAGCTGCGGTCTCCAGTCCCTGGGCTGTGGACTGGGCTGCATCTCCTACGTGGCCTGTTAGGAACCTGGCCACACCCATACAGCAGAAGGTGAGCAGAGGGTGAGGGAGCAAAGCTTCATTTGTATTTACAGCTGCTCCCCGTTGCTTGCATCACTGCATAAGCTCCACCTCCTGTCAGATCAACAGTGGCATTCGATTCTCATAGGAGCATGGAGCCCTTCTGTAAACTGCTTATGTGAGGGATCTAGGTTGTGCGCTCCTTATGAGAATCTAATGTCTGATGATCTGAGGTGGAGCTGAGGTGGTGTTGCTGGCACCGGGGAGGGGCTGCAAATACAGATTATCATTAGCAGAGAGATTTGACTGCACAATAAATGTAATGTGCTTGAATCATCACGAAACCATCCTCCGCTCTCCTCTGCCCCCCAAATCCATGGCAAATTGTCTTCTGTGAAACCGGTCCCTGGTGCCAAAAATGTTGGGGACCACTGACCTAGAGAACTAGGCTGGGAGAACTGAGGGTGGCTAGGCAGCTGTGTAACAGGGCCAGATCATGGTAGGATAATAGTTGAAGGGATGGATGAGTAAAGTTTAAGGGCTGGAGACCCAACTAGAATGGAGTTGATGTGTTAGGGAAGCTGAATTGGAGTAGTTAAGGATTATTGGCTCTTGGGTAGAAGGCAAATTATTGCCAGAATGGCAGGTTTTGTTTTCCCCCTCCCTCTGGCCACAGTTTGTTTGAAGGTTATTCTAGTGGAAGAATTATCACGTACATCCAGCCCAATCAATGGTCTGGGTCTCCTGTTTTAGCTGGAAATACTAGTGAGCTGCAGGACATGGACTTAAGCTTCCTGATATGGGTTAGACAATCACGATCAATCTGTCAAGGGCCTTGTTTTTGGAGGGAGTTCTGATATAACTGAAAAAGCAGTGGATTTGGAAGTTTAAAGTCTCTGATATGTAGTGACCAGCTGATTGTAGGCCAACTTCTGGGCCTCTTAGGAACTCTATTTTGTATTTGCCACCTCTGCTGGTTTGCTTGCTTTTAAGATTGGCAAATTAACGTAAATTAACGTAAATAAAGCTCTCAATAAACTTGGAAGGGCTGCATAAATGCAATATAGAATTGGTAAAATGAAATTTTATTTCAGATGCAGGGCTTTTTATATGATGCCTAGAACATCTCTTAAAACCTGTCATGGTGACTATAGTTAATGACGGTATATTATATTCTTGAAAAGTGCTAACAGTGGCTGTAAAATGTTTTTACCAAGCAAATAACTATGTGAGGTAATACATATTTTAATTAGCTAAATTTAACTGTTCCACAATGTGTATATACTTCAAAACAGCATGTTGTACGTAATAAATAATACAGTTTTATCTATCAATTTAAAGTAAATTTGAAAACAAATCTGTCTAAACATAGTTTTAAAATGTAGGTCTTTTGAAGAACATTTCTTATATATCTTTAGCCTTGGGACTTGGATATTGCTTTCAAAGTCTAAAAGCTAGCTCATGGTAAATAAACTATTTCTATAAGCATTAAAAAAAAGTTTATGTCTTCTTTTAAAAAGTGCTTTTATTGAAATACAAGCTTACTGGAAAATTTTGGGTTTCAGTTTGTTGGAGATAATTTGTGCTTCACATTGTTTCAGGGAAAAGATGTGTGTAATGTAAAACAGATAAAAAGGCCAAGGATCTTTTTAATAGATCCTTGCTTTATAGGATTTAACTCTGGATGTTTTTTCCATTTTCCTCTGGGAATCTTTTTCTTCTAAATTCCACTGTTACAATCTGTCTAAACCTTGCATAGCCCCTTAGGTATTTTCTGTTAGCTGTGGCTTTAAAAGGTTTGGTCATGGCCCCTTTGTGGTTTTAATCCTGACTTACCCTCCTGGGTTCTCCCTGGGAATGGGTAGATGAGATAGATATTGGTGACTAGCTGCATTATTCTTTCTCATGAGTCAGTTGGAAGATCAGAGAACACTCAGCAGATGCCTTCGTGGTCTCCTAGAGATTTCTCCTACCCCATTGTCACAGTTCTTGCCCTGCTAGACTGGTGGGCCTATTTACGTCATCTTGTCTCTGAATTTGGATATAGAATGTTAACAGGGTTGACTATCCCTCAACCCACTGTTTTCCTCCTTCCTAATTGTTCCACACAAAATAAGACTTTCTACTTTTGAAGGTAATTTACTTCATCTCAAGAGTCTGGCTGCCCTGAGGGCATTTTGGTAAGTGTACTGCTTAGTGGTCAGTATTTAACCGATTCCGGTCTTCTTTGACCCTTAACGTGTCTTTGGTGAAGTCTCTCAGCTACCTCGCTCAGGGTGTTAGCCCACTACTTTATATACTGCTGCCTTCATGGATGGTGTAGTCCAATACTGTTCAGGGGGACTGTTACAAATTTATATTTTGTTGTAGTAAACGAAGATGAAAAACTTTGGATCATGTTATTCTGTGTCAAAATACAATGAGGAAGGTATTTGGTACTAGTCCTTTAGTTACGTAACGGATAATTAGAGAAAGGAGTCGATTGTATGTCAGCTTTACTCTTCCCTTCCTGTTGACTAGAAAAAACAAACGAGCATGAAGACGACGAAAGTATTCACTGGACTCTCAAATGGTGCCTTTTCTCTGTGGAAAACTTGACTGCTTCACCTATATCCCCTTCTCTAATGTTGGACTGATTCCTAATGATTCTTTAGGTCTCAGTTTAGGTATTGGTTCCTCAGAGCAGTGCCATCTTTCAGTAAGTCAAAGCCAGTTTTTCCCTCCTGTATTCAATAAAATTCTACTTACATGCAGTGCTATTTAGTCTCTCTATGTAGAGACATTTTCAGGGCCTCGAAAAACAGGCTGTAATGTGCTTTTCTAGCAGTCTTTTCTGCTGTCTGATTACGTATTCTATTCTTCAGTGGAGTTTCTCCCCTTTTTCTTTTTTTGTTCACTCTAACACATTTTCCTTGTGTTTTTGGCTTCCATTCCTTCGTTCATGCCATTCTCCTCCTCTAGAACACCTTAGCCTTTTCCATTCTGGCCATCTTTAAGGCTCACCTGAAATACCAGTGGCCGTGATATATGGGAGGTGAAAATACCATATTCACTGGCTACCCCTGAGTGGTCTCTTTTCACTTCTGAGTTGGTGGTGTTTATTGCCTATGGTTGTCCTTTGGCATTTACATACCATTCTGTGACTGTTCTCTTGACTCTCTTGCTCGTGTTTGTCTTTTCTAGTAAACAAGAACGTTGGATCACTGAAGATAGGGAATTTCATCTTCTGTTTCTTTATGTTCTTCAGTTTATGCCCACCATAAAGTTTCTCAGTAAATAGTTTATTTGATTAAGTATAAAAATTCTTCATATTTTATAGCATGAATCCTGAAGAGAGTGCTTTGACAATTTTTTTTCCTTTAAATTTCCCCAAGTATCCAGTTTCCTTCTCTATTTTATTGCTTGTACATAATAGCTGACACTAAAGTATCAGGAAAATCTGTAAGCAAGAAGCACAAGAGGCTTAAGTAACTGTAGGATGCCTTGTGGCCATGTCAGTACAAATTTCTGAAGGTGCAGCATGAAATAAAATCTTACTAGGTGAGGGAAGGGAATTAACATGGATTGGAGGCAAGTGTTTTACTCAAGCAGAGAGCCATTTCTTATAATGGATGCCTGTGAACAATTTTATTCCTGAGATATAAATAAAATCCCCAGGAAGATGAATTCATTTTTTAAAAGAAGTATAATCGGGTGCCATGTTTATCAAATGACTAACTTTATTATGATCCTCTAATGGCTTGAGCGAGAAATTGTCTCCTTGTCATACGGCTAGAGAGCTATTTAAGAAATTCTCTTTAATTTCTTTCCTAGAATCTAGATCCTCTACTGTGGCATAGCCTAAAAGTCCTTAGGCATTTATAACTAGGGATGAAAATACTAGGCATTCAGAGCTCTAGTTTTGTGTTCCCAGTTTAAAAATTGATATTTCTAATATTTACTAGTTAGGTGAATTTCTTTCTGTGTTACCTATTCATCATACTGTTAAAATGTAAAATGCAAATGCACTGATGTGTTAAAGATTTTGTTTCTTTTCCAGGTACAAAGAGGATGGTGAAGCTTTATTAATTTTGCTTCCTTCAGAAGAAAAAGCTATGCTGCAGCAGCTTCTTCAGAAGAAAGTGCCTGTGAAGGAAATCAAGTAAGAGCTACTTGTTATCTTTTTTGTTAGGGAAACGAGGGCATGAAATTAGTATGCTTAATTATGGGCACCTAATTTCCTCCTTCCCGTAATCTATTCAACTGGTTTGTGACTTTTTCACAAAGGTGATGGTTATTACTACTATTATGTTTTTTTAGATCAGTGTTAGGTTCATAGTAAAATTGAAAGGAAGGTAAAGAGAGTTCTCATATACTTCTTTGCCCTCCATTATCACATCCCACACCAGAGTGGTACATTTTTCACAGTTGAAAAACTTACATTGACACATCGTATCACCTCAAGTCCACAGTTTATATGTTAGGGTTCACTCTTGGTGTTGTATATTCTGTGGGTTTGGACAAATGTCTAGTGACATATCTACCATTATAGTATCATGTGGTATTTTCACTGCCCGCCAAATCCTGTGCTCTGCTTAATCATCTCTCCCCTCTCTCCAACCCCTGACAACTGATCCTTTAACTGTCTCCATAATTTTGTCTTTCCAGAATGACATATAGTTGGAATTGTATAGTATATAGCCTTTCCATATTGGCTTCTTTCACTTAGTAGGTATGCAGTTAAAGTTCCTCTGTGTCTTTTCATGGCTTGACAGCACATTTCTTTTAGCAGTGAATAATAGTCCATTGTCTAGATGTAATAGTTTTTGTATCTGTTCACCTACTGAAGGACATATTGATTGCTTCCAAGATTTGGCAATTACGAATAAAGCTGCTATAAACATTCCTGTGAAGGTTTTTTGGTAGACATAAGTTTTCAACTCTTTTGGGTAAATACTACCAAGAAGCATCATTGCTGGACCAGATGGTAAGAGTATGTTTTATTTTTGTAAGAAACTGCCAAACTGTCTTCCAAAGTGGCCGCACCATTTTGCGTTCCTGCCAGCACTGAATGAGAGTTTCTGTTGCTCCACATCCTGGTCAGCATTTGGTGTTGTCACTGTTCTGGATTTTGGCTATTCTCGTAAGTGTGTGGTGGTGGTCCTTTCTTTTAATTTGCATTTCCCTGGTTACATGCTGTGTAAGATCTTTTTATATGCTCATTTGCCATCTGTAGCTCTTTGGGGAGGTGTTTGTTAAGGTCTGGCCCATTTTTAAATTGAGTCGTTTGTGTTACTGATTTTTAGGGGTTCTTTGTATATTTTTAGGACGATACCCCCTGCCTTGTTATAGGCAGCTGTGGGACTAGGGACTTGCCTGCTCAATCCATTGCAGCTACCAGCAACACCAACACAGACCTCTTGGGTCCTAGTAGGTGGTTCCACCTCTGCTATTGCCACATCCCATATCACATCAGCTGCTCAGGGGCCTGAGGACTCACCCACACACCTGGCCCTCTGCTCCAACTGCTAATTTCTGCTAATGAGCAAACCACCTGAAGGCCAAAGAATTGGTTCCCCCAGGAAACACTAATGCCACTGCCAGCATAAGCTGCTCTGGGGCTTAAAATGAGGCATACACAGCCCACTGCTTCTACCACTGGGGCCTAAAGACTGGCTTGGCTGGCATTTGAGTCCCCAGCTAAACTTCACCACAGCTTTAACCTAATACCTATACTCTTAGCCTCCAAGGAAATCACAGATACCACTGACTCCATGTAATGCCTAAGACATCATACAAAGACCACACTACAGCAGGCACCCAAAATCATTGCCAAAGTTTCCTACTCAACCAAAAATACATATACATCTTCAGGAAAAAAATTATCCCTTTCGAAAGCAATTTCAAAGAAATCAGAACAAGTGACTGGTACATCAGATGTGTAGGTATCAATGGAAGGACATAGGAAACATGAAAATAAATGTAAGAAAATGTGACACCACAAAAGCACAATAATTGTCCAGCAGTGGATCCCAATCAGAAGGAATTCCTTGTAATACCTGATAAAGAATTCCAAATACTGATTCTGAAGCTCAGTGAGATGGAAGAGAAATCTGAAAATCAATACAAAAACATGAGAAAATCATTTCATGGTATGAATGAGAACTTGACCAAAGAGATAATTATCTCAAAAACACGAATTCTGGAGCTGAAAAATTTATGGAAGAAAACACAAGACACATTTGAAACCTTCATGAATAGACTTGACCAAGCAGAAGAAAGACTCTCAGCCTTGCCTTGGTGGGTCATACCTGTAATCCTAGCATTTTGGGGGAGGCCTAGGCGGGTGGATCACTTGAGGCTAGGAGTTTGAAACCAGCTTGAGCAACACAGTGAGACCCCATCTCTACAAAAAAATAGAAAAATCAGCTGGGTATGGTGGCATGCACTTGCCCCAGCCATTTGGGAGACTGAGGTGGGAGGATCACTCCAGCCCAGGAGTTTGACGTTGCAGTGAGCTATGATGACAACACTGCACTCTAGCCCAGGCAGCAGAGTGAGACCCTGTCTCAGAAAAACAAACAAAAAAACCCAAAACAAAACAACCTCAGAACTTAAAGACGGATCTTTTTGAAATAATCAGACAAATTAAAGAGGAATCAAAGGATGAGCAAAGCCTTTGAGACATCTATGGCTACATAAAGCGACCAAATTTACAAATTATTATTATTCCTTAGGGGGAAGAGAGATCAAAAAGTGTAGAAAACCTATTTAAGTAAATAATTGGTGAAAATGTCTCGGGAATAGCCAGAGAGTTAGAAATCAGATACAGTAGGCCCAGTGATCCCCAGGCAAATACATTGCAAAAAGGACTTCACCACAGCTAATTATAGTCAGAATGACTAAAGCTGAGGTGAAAGAATTTTAAAATGAGCAAGAGAAGTGTCTAGTCATCTCTAAAGGAAACCCCCATAAGACTAACAGTGAACCTCTCAGCAGAAACCTTGGAGGCCAGAAGAGAATGGGATGACATTTTCAAAGTGCTGCGAGCCAAGAATTTCATATCTTGTCAGAATAAGCTTCATAAAACGAACAAGAGATAGTCTTTCCAAGACAAGCAAGTGCTGAGAGAATTCATCACTACTGGGCTGGCCCTACAGAAAATGCTCACAGGAGTCTTAAACATGGAAACAAAAGGTTAGTATTCACCATCATGCGAACAAAAATATAAAACTTGCAGATCTTATAAAACACACAAAGGAGGAAGAGAGAGGAATTAAATGGCAACATGACAGAAGTTGAGGAAACCAGAAAGACAAAAAGTAAAAAAACAAAAAACCTTAACTAGAAATCATCTAACAATATAAGAACAAATCCTCCCATATCAATAGTAACTTCGTATGTAGGTGGATTAAATGCTCCACTTACAAGATACAGATTGGATGAATGGATAAAAGAATGTGGTCTAACTATGTGCTGCTTACAGGACATTTAACCATAAAGATACATAGACTGAAAGTAAAAGGGTGGAAAAAGATACTCCATGCAAATGGAAACCAAAAGCAAGCAGGAGTAGCTATACTTATATCAGATAAAAAAGATTTTAAATCAAAAACAGGAAAAAGGCAAAGCAGATCATTATATAATGATAAAGGGATCAATCCAGCTAGAGGATATAGCGATCCTAAATATTAATATATATGCGCCCAACATCAGAGCACCCAGATTCACAAAACAAATATGACTGGACCTAAAAAGACAGCAGCACAATAGTGGGGGAGTCCAACACCCTATTCACATCGTTAGATAGATCATCAAGACAGAAAATCAACAGAAGAAAATTGGACTGAAGTCCATTTGGTCTGAAGTCCAATTTAACAAGATATTTGCAGAACATTCCACCCAACAAGTGCAGAATATATGTTATTCTTATCAGCATGTGAAACGTTCTACAAAGATCACATTTTAGGCCATGAAACAAATCGTAAATTTAAAAATTGAAATCATATCAAGTATCCTCTCAGACCACAGTGGAATGAAGCTACAACATCAGTATGAAGAACTTCAGAAACTATACAACACATGGAAATTAAATAGCATGCTCCTGAACGATCACTGCATCAAAGAAGCAATAAAGATGGAAATTAAAAATTTTTGAAATGAATGAAAACACAACATACCAAAACCTGAGACATAGAAAAAGCAGTGCTGAAAGGGAATTTTACAGCATTAAATGCCTACATCAAAAAAGCAGAAAGATGACAAATTAACAACCTAACATTGCACCTCAAAGAACTAGAAAAACAAGAAACAAACCAAACCCAAAGTTAGCAGAAGAAAAGAAATAGATTAGAGCAGAACTAAATGAAACAGAGACCATAAAAACAATACAAAGGATAAAAATGAAAAGTTGGTTCTTTGAAAAGGTAAAACTGATAAACCACTAGCAAGGCTAACCAAAAAAAGAAAGAATCCAAATAGAATTAGAAATGGCTATAAATTTTCCTCTCAGGACTGTTTTAGCTGTGTCCCACTGATTTTGATAACTTGTGTTCCCTTTATCATTTAATTTAAAGAATCTTTTGATTTCCATCTTAATTTCCTCCTTGAGTCAATAATCGTTTAGCAGAAGGTCGTTTAGTTTCCATGACTTTGTGTAGAGATGAGTGTTTCTGTTGTAGTTGATTTCTAATTTTATTCCACTGTAGTCTGAGAAAGATGCGTGGTATAATTTCTATGTCTTCTTTTCCTTTCTCTTCTTGTTCTAACATTCCCATTATGTATATATGACACTTTTGATAGTTGTCCCACAGTCCTTGAATGTTCTATTCTGTCTTCAGTCAGATTTGAAGGTTTTTATCAAGTTCAAAAATGCTTTCTGAATCTGTTTTCTTGATCTCTACCATTTCTTTCTGGTTCTTTTTCTATCTTTCCGCTTATGTTGCCCATATGTTCTTGCATGCTGTCTATTTTATCCATTAGAATCCTTAGCATATTATTATTATTATTTTTTTTTTT